TTCAAAAATCCTTTCATCCAGCTCCTCCAAAATCCATACCCTTTGACCTCTGGGGCTCTGTGTGGGCATGTGTGACCTTGTTGCTGAGGGGTTCAATGAGACGCTGCCATTTCACAGGGCACATTGTGGTGCCTCGTTGCCACCCAAGCTCTGACTCTTGGTTTTGTGGTACCAGCTCTGGTGTCATGCTGCAGGATCATCACATCCCCTTTTCACAAACCACTCAGGCTCCCCCAGGGTTGGTCCTGCCCCAGCCTGACAGCTCAGGGGAAAGACAGGGAGAGAGCCAAGGTTCACCCTGGTGCTTTTGTCTTCCCATTGGAGAAGGGTGACAGCTGCTTCTCCCTGCAGCTGCCAGGGCATCCATCATCCTGCATGAGTTGGAGAGGGACAACCAGAGCCCTGGGCTGAGCAGGGAGGCTTCTATTGCTGTGTGGGCAGGGAGGGGGCAGGCAGTGATTTAGGAAGAGGGACAGCTGCAGGCAGGGGTGCACACCAAGGCACATGGCCAGCAGCTCCATCTGTGCACATTCCCCACACACATGGCTCCACATTCCCATGTCACAGACCACGTGGCAATCACCCAATTGCCCAAAGATGTGTGTGCAGGGATGGGCAACTAGGCTGAGTCTGCTGGACCTCCTCCCCTGGCTTTGCCCCTCAGTTTCTTTGACAGGGTGAGACTCCTTTCTCCCAGCTCCCAAAAGTGTCAAAGAGGGGATCACATGCATCAGGGCTTCTGTTGGGTGAGGCAGGGCAGTCTCAGGAGCATGAGGCTCAGGTCTGGGAGCCAGGACTTGGATATTTGGGAGCCTCAGGCAGTGCTAGCCCCATGGTCTTGGCTCCTTGAGGCTCTACCCTCTCACAGCAAGTAAAAGCCCAGCACTTCTGTCCCTACACAGGGAAGTTCCCTATAGGTGGATGCTGACAAGGGGTGCAGATCCGCTCCTCCTCCTGCTTCTCTCCCTTGGGGTCCCCCAGCTGTTGGGGACCAGCATTTGGCTTCCTGCTGTTGGCCTGGCCAGCTCTGTCATGTAACTGGAGAAGGCGTCAGGATGCCAATGGCACATGGGGATTATCTGGGATACAATCAGGGCTGTGAAAGTGGTGGAGCACATGGCAACACAGACTGCTGTTCATGCTGCAGCATTGCTGGAGAGCTGAGTGCAGCATGCTCTTCCCTCTCAGAGATAATCCATAGCCTGATCAACCCTCTGCCAGGGCCCTTCCCCCTCTGAAATTTGGGCTGGCTTACACTGTTTGTGGCATTGCAAGCAGATAGGCATTGTCAGAAGGAAATCCGTGCTTTCTTGGATAAACAGTTCTCTCTCATAGCCACGTCTCAAATAGGAGGGATTAATCTTCCCTGGGCTGCTCACTGTCCAGCAAGACTTTCCAGGGGACTTTGTCTCCAAAGAAAAATCCAGCATCATGCATTCAGTCATGAAGCAGTGACTGTAGGTGACAGCCCAGAGCCTTAAACATGTAGGCCTTCTGCACATGAAAGAAGAGGGAGAGCACAAGGCAACCACTGGAACTAGGGTGCCTGGTGACAGAGTCAGCCCAGCACTGTGATACCACAACCTGTGCCTCATATGTCTGGCACTCCTAGTGACTGCCAGCCCCATAAAACACCTCTGCCATCCCTCATGAGTCCTCCCCCTCAGGTCCCTGCAGTGCCTGGAGTATGAAATGTTAACCCCCTACCACTCCATCACCCAGCAGTTTGCCCTCATCAGCACTACCGAGATGGAAACACTTGCAGCTCTGGACAGTTGATTATTTAAACTGTCGGGAGTGTTTAATTTAACCCTGGATTCATCATCTGCAGCTTGTTTCCATCCACCAGGCACCCGTGCTCCCCTCCCCATGTAAACTCTGCTGAGCTCCTCACTTCCAGTAGATCTGTTTCCCTGGTGTTCCCTCACTGAGTGGCACAGCAAGGGATGTCCCAGTGCCAGGGGCTGCAGGCACAGCTGTCTTGGGGTGCAGTGCTGGGATTGTAGCTGGGTGTCAGGAGATGGATGAGCTGAGTCCCTCACCACTGCCTGGGCATGATGGGAGGGAGCCTCAAAGTGTTCATGAGTGACACAC